ATGGGAGCGTACCGGTCGATGGGAGGTACTCTGCGGCAGGAGGCGGTCTCGAATAATAATAATAATAATAATAATAATAATAATAATAATAATAATAATAATAATAATAATAATAATAATAATAATAATAATAATAATAGTAATAAAGTTGGAAGGGACCTTGGAGGTCATCTACTCCAACCCCCTGCTCAGCCAGGAAACCTTATACCATTTCAGACAAATGGCTGTCCAGTCTCTTCTTAAAAACTTCCAGTGTTGGAGCATTCACAGCTTCTGGAGGCAGGTTGTTCCACTGGTTAATTGTTCTAACTGTCAGGAAGTTTCTCCTTAGTTCTAGGTTGCTTCTCTCCTTGATCAGTTTCCACCCGTTGCTTCTGGTCCTGCCTTCAGGCACCTTGGAGAATATAAGATAGCACTATGATAATTAGATGTTCAGCAGACTGATGGCATGAGGAAAAAAACTCTAGTTTTGGCATGCAGTGGTCTATTGTGCAAGGAATATTGGCTATTTATGAACTCCTGGGGAAGAGTCTGCTAAAGTCTTGTAGAGAAAAGTGTATGTATGTGTTTCTCAACCCAAACCACATATATGCTCAGTTCTCTTTCCGTTTTTCTCTTTTCTTCCTTTCCAGGCAATCGCTCATTACGAACAAGCTGCAGATTATTATAAAGGTGAAGAATCAAACAGGTAATTCAAGCATTTCCTCTTTGCATTTCTGCTACGGGCTTTACTGCTTTATGATGGTTCCATTCCTGCTTGTCAGGAAGGCCTCAGAAAACAGACTGGTTTAAAAGAATCAAAGCTGGATGGACAGCTTACCTGTTTTGGAAATGGCCAGAGGGTTTTTGTGTTTCACTGACGGCAAGCGAAAATAATATTTCAAGTTGATCTTGTGATTCAGTTCCTTGAACCAAAGTTAAAGTAATATTTTGTCATAGCTGTGCCTCGGTGGATATAAAAGCACTGAGAATGTGGTTCTGGCTTGGCTGGTACTTCACATTTTCATGAGCACACACTGTACTTCTCTGACTTTAAGCTTACATTACTAATACAGCCTTATTTTGACTACTTGTTAGACCAGTTTTTGCTTTCTCCATGTGAATGGCTGCCACAGGTTTAAAATACCGTTCTCTATAAACTTCGTCCCAAATGACTTGGTCTCCTTTGGGGCGCTGTTGGAGATAGAGAGCAATCCTTTGAAATCTGCCCCAGATGAGTAAATTTGCGTCAAAGGTTTTTCCAGGAGCCCCCCGGGGTGCAGTATTGCAGGCTAATTCAACTGCCAACAGTTTGGCAGTTCGAATCTCACCAGCTCAAAGTTGACTCAGCCTTCCCTCCTTCCGAGGTTGGTAAAATGAGGACCCAGATTGTTGGGGGCAAGAGGCTGAGTCTGTAAACTACACAGAGAGGGCTGTAAAGCACTATGAAGCAGTATATAAGTCTAAGTGCTATTGATATTGCTAGAGGAGCGGTGGCCAAAATATCACTGCTTGATCGGTGCCTCAGGCACACATTATCTCTGGAATCAGAATGAGCAGCTTCGTCACTCCCAGAAATTTCTACACCACTCATCTCACCTAAGTCACTCTGGGCATTTTACAACAAATGAACAAAACCATATAAACACGTGAATAAAAGCATAGCTTGAGAACAGAGTTGAGAGCAGGTTAAAACTTACAAGGAAAAATGAATCGGGTTAAAAGTTCAAAGGCTAGGAACTTAACAAGGCGGTGGGAGTGTCTTCAGGCCACCAGCCATCTGATGTTGCGTCACACTTTTCATAATAGGTCACAAGTAGGGTCCAGCTCCTTTTGCGTTATCTAGTCTGAATGGATTATTCTGAATTTAGTTAGACGGAGAAAGGATTATTGCTCAGGCAGCAGCTTCAAGACATAAGAAGTCAGAAATGCCTCTTAAGTCACCCTCCACCCTCAGGCTACTACTCCGTTTGAAAAGATCTTGGCTCCTGAGTAGAGCAGAGAGTCTGATCGCTAGGAGCACTTTCTGGAAATCTTCATTATAGACCCGTTATCCTCAGTGCTTGCCTTCAGAAGTACAGTCCTACTCTTAATCTCTCTAGGCTAGCAAGAGAAGCTTGGTGAAATGCACACCCAACTTTCTCCCACGCAAGCTACTTTTTAAACTTGTATTTGCGTTTTGCATTTGGGCCTCAGCTAGTTTGGGTGTTTTAGGGGGGGGTCCACCGATGTTGCCCGGGCGGGCATGATGATGGAGGCTGTGTTGGCAGGTGGGGAAGAAGAGTTGCTGGTCTTTTTCCATGTCCAGTTGCCTCTAATCCAGTGTTTCTCAACCGTGACCATTTTAAGGCATGTGGACTTCAACTCCCAGAATTCCATAGCCATCATTGCTGGCTGTGGAATTCTGGGAGTTGAAGTCCACATGCCTTAAAATTGTCAAGGTTGAGAAACACTGCTCTAATCCTTTGGTTTTTTTTTTCTCCCTTCCTGCAGCTCTGCCAACAAATGTTTGCTGAAAGTGGCTACCTATGCAGCTCAGCTGGAGCAGTACCAAAAAGCTGTTGAAATCTACGAGCAGGTCCAGTTACTTCTGTTCTTTCTCCCCCCCCCCTTCCATTGAACCTTCATAAAACCACACCTCTTTAACATACTGAACCACCATATAGGTGTGAAAACAAAAATCTAGCAGGGCTGAGATTTGCCAGTTAAGAGAAACAGGGATGCCGCTTCTATGGATTCTACAAACGTATTGTGACTAGTTCTGTTTTTACCAAACGTCAGGTAATTCATGAGTTTGCTCATTCATAAGGCTACCCAGCCAACACCGACTCTGAAGAATGTGTACATTAAAGGACAAACCCAAGAAACACACACAAGAGTAAGCACAGCGGCAGAGGAACCTGACATACATCAGTGATGGCGAACCTTTTAGAGACCGAGTGCCCAAAAACTGGCCCCGCCCCGCTTCACCTCCCTGCTCTGCCCCCCTATCCCCGCCCCGCCTGCCCACAGGACCACTCACCGCCTCCAGGGCCCGCCGCAGATCGCCCAGGCAGCCCAGCAGCGCTATGGCGGCCACACCCTTTGCCCGCGTCCTGCAGCATCAACTGCATGATGGGGTATGAGGGCAGAGTCTTGTCTACGCTGCCTGGCTGCCATGTCCTTGGCTGCGCTGCTCCATGTGGGCCACACTCGAGGGCGACTCTCCTTCAGGGGGGCTGCTGGAGAGGAGGGGGTTGTGGGGGGAGGCGAGGCTGGGGCAACGCCACGTGTGCCCACAGAGAGGGCTCCGAGTGCCGTCTCTGGCACCCGTGCCATAGGTTCACCACCACTGACATACACCATAACCCAAGCAGTCCATACCAAATGGACACACACCAAACTTGTCTCAGAGCTTGTGGGGGAAAGTATTCTTATGGTTTGTTTCAATAAAAGAGAATATTTGTAGCTCTGGATTGAACTGTGGGGTCCTTGGTGCTCTCTGAGCTCCATGGTTTTCTTACAGACGTTTTATGACCCAACTAGATAACTTCAGTGCTAGAAAGGAGTGGGGCTTATAAACCACAGATTCCACTCCCTTCTAGCACTGATGAAGTCACCTAGTTGGCTCATGAAACATCTGCAGGAAAACAACGAAATTCAGCACCAAGGACCCCAAAGATTTGTTTAAAGAATTGCAATATCGGGGCAGTTTGAATGTCTGAGGATAGATCATTCTAAAAGGCAAACATCAGAACAGAAAAAGTGTGCTTAAGATCTATCAGAGGACATTGCTTAATAGATGGAACATGAAGCACACTTGCTGTGTTGGATCTTACGACAGAGATGATGAGAGACTGAAAGAGTCTTTTATGCCATAAGCCATAAAGTGATGTGAGGGATGGCTAAGTCCTCAACGTGTTGGGAGAATTTTCAGTGACCTTTCTTACCAGAATCTTCACCGGCCTTCTCTTCCATCCATTTTGCCTCCACAAGAGTTAGAAACCTATTTTCTTTGTGTAAAACTTTCATTAGGTTCACAGGAAGCCATTTGTAATGACTTTCTGGGGATGTTCCTGAGATCTTGTGGCACTGTGGCCCCCGCAGAACAATTCTAATAACGCTTTCCAGAATCTTCCCCTTCAAATTTGGAGCAGAGGATGGAGATTGATTCAAAGATTTAAGTGCATTTTTTAAAAAAAAATGAAAAGAAAAAACAATTCACTACTCTAAAATGCTGTATTTTGCTCAGCAAGATTTGTTGGCTAGTTCTGTTCCTGTCTGTTTTCTGCCCTCAACGGCATTGCTTCTCATATCAGTGCAACTTATTTATTACAGCCATTGGTTTGTTTATGCAAGAATAAAACTTTTGCAAGAAAAGTGTTTAATCAATCGGCAGCAATCCCGTTAAGTTACCAGGTTAGAAAGTGGGAGATGGTGAGTTCAAGTCCCACCATATAATCATGAAAGCCAGCTGGGTGACTTTGGATGGGTCCCCCTCTCTCAGTTTGACCCACCTCACAGAGTGTTTGTTGTGGGGAAAACAAGTCAAGAACAGTGTGTTGAATATGTTCACTACCTTGAGTTATTTGTTTAAATGATAAAAGCGGGATACAAATCAATCAATAAAAACACTAATAACACAGATTAATATAATTACAACATTTCTGCCCGCCACACTTCTCTGCTCTGCATTCGCCATAGTTGGACTCCTCAATACTTTGCTGACTTCTCTTAAGAAAACAAAAAACGAATGTCTTCATGTCTCTTTTGTGGTAGTTGCTCAATCCTGCATGTGAGGGTATAAATACCATATCATTTTCTTCCATTTTTCTTTAAAGTTTCCTTCAAAGCAAACCCCCCCCCCTTTCTGATTTTCTTCTCTCCCCCTTTTCTGCAACCTCCAGGTGGGGACCAGTGCCATGGACAGCCCCTTGCTGAAATACAGCGCAAAGGAATACTTCTTCAAAGCAGCCCTCTGTCATTTCTGCATTGACATGCTCAATGCCAAGGTTTGGACAATTGTCGTTTTATTTCTAGAAACCTGGTAAAGCTTTTACAGTATACTTTATTGATGAGGCCTCAAAGTCAGCATATGTTTAAGTGAATTCACCACTGCATGCAATCCCAGTGTGTTCCATAAAATATTTTTGCTGTTGGGCAGCCCTGAGTATAAATTTATGATTCTAGTGACTACATATATACCGTATTTATTGGCGTATAACACGCACTTTTTCCCCCTGAAAATAGGGGGCAAATGATGTGTGCGTGTTATACGCCGATATAAGCTCTCCGCCGCCCGGCCCCACCTCGGCCCGGGCAGCCACGGCCCTTCCCCGTCCTCCTGCTGCCGCTGCCGCCGCGGCCCTTCGCCGCCCGGCCCCACCTCGG